TCTCTCTCTCTCTCTCTCTCTCTCTCTCTCTCTCTCTCTCTCTCTCTCTCACACACACACACACAGGCACACACAAAATCCCTAATTACAGACATGAATCTCTGATCTACTCCACAGTAGGAGTAATTAAAACAGGACTCTCCTCCTGAGAAAGCAGGTGACAGACAGAGAGGCAGAATGAGCCGCACAGTGGAAGCATTCTCATTGTCATGCATGTGCGGTGTACTTTGATCACATGTAATGACAGAGGAGCCTCAATGTTCAGCTTAAAAGTGTGTAAATAGAACATAAAAACAGCTGTTCCGAAGGGTTTCAATGAGCTTTGCTGGCAATGGTATGGAAAGATCAGATGGAATCCCTCCAAAGAGAAGAAATCAAAATGATGTCAGATGTCGTTCTATGAACTAACATTAATTTCTCGCAAAAACAGTGAGATCCTTTAGACTCATTTTGAAATATGTATCATTATTTGTTTTGTAACATCTCGCCTTTTTCTTCTTTCACCCAGAGAGAAGCCAATGTAAGCTCGGCCGACATACAGCTCTGTCCTTTTGACCTGGAAATTGTTTTCCTGCCATTCCTGATTCCCTCAGACCGTCCCCTCCATCCACTCACATTTGTGATCAGAGAGACAGTCTGTCTGCCCACCACCAGTCAGGTAACACTCCCTTTGTAGTGGCCAGTAAACAAAGTGCTATATTCGACATTAAGGCAGCAAACTGTCTTACATTCAACTTTCAGCGGACTCGTGAGGTGTTGGCAGCTGTTGATTTTCTGTCAACAGCTCAAACATTCACCTCAGTCAAGAAAAGCTCTTAATTGTATCTTCCTATTAAACACTAGGGTCTTATACCATTTACTGTACTGCATTTGTGTTACGTCCAGAGAGTCAGAACCTGTAAACCGTATTTAGAACTTGAACGTGTTCTCATAACTATTATTGCACCACCATGAAGTCACCTCATAGTGGTGCTATAGCTCCATAACACAAATGGCTGCTGCTGTGCCCTCCAGCTAATCAAGTTACAGCAGACAATGTGAGCCAACCTCTGTCTTAATCTTACTGGATAGACTATGCATTTACTAACCACTTTTACACTAGTATACTAGTGTGAAAGTTTGCTCTCTACCTCTGATATAACTTACATACAAACCTATGCATGTTCGCAAGGTATTCTTAATTGTTCATCTTTTTTTTTAGACTGTAGTAATGAGATAATGTTCTTTCCAAAGTGACTTTTGATAGAGCTTCAATCTTTGTGACGGACCGACAACATGAGGCAAATATTTTAGTGATTTTACTGAATATTTGTCCATGTAAAACTGGAAAGAATTAGTGGATTTTATCATCTACAGAACATTAGATGACAGACATTATTTAGACGTTAAGAGAAATGTTTGCACAAACAAAGTACAAGGTTTCAAACCAAAACAGTTGAATCATCTGAAACAGTTCATCATGAATAACATCTATAAAACAAAAATCTTGAAAAACGTTAGTAGTTCAAATTCAGAAATAAGAATCAGAGATAAATCACTCATCTTGTTCCTGGTTTGTCTTTCTTTCTCCCTCAGTCTTCTTCAGTGTTGGTGTATTCTGATGGATCAGTATGTCTACCACTAATAATATTGCCCAGGCCAGGAAACTGGTGGAACAGCTGAGGATTGAGGCAGGAATTGAACGAATCAAGGTAAAGCAATCATTTCTGCTGCCATGTTTACATATTTGAGGGATATTTGTCCAGCCTAATTTGTATTTGTTATTCTCTCCTTTCACTGTTTCTCCTCTCATTTGTCCTTGCTCTTTCATTCACCTGCTTTGCAACATTGTTTTTCTTTCCTCAATCCTCTACCATCACATTTTTTTCTTTTCCTTCAATTTGACTCGTGGATCCTGTGGATCCTACATTTTCTTGCCGTCTCTCATTCCCTTCCCTGTCTCTCTCTGTCCATTCTCCCTGGCAGGTGTCTAAAGCAGCAGCAGACCTGATGAGTTACTGTGAGCAGCACGCTCGTAGCGACCCTTTACTGGTTGGGGTGCCCACTTCTGAGAATCCCTTCAAGGACAAGAAACCTTGCATTATCCTATAGCTGCGCTGCACTTTTTCTCGTCCTCACGCACGCAGACGCACACACTCACGCATACTCATGCACATTTAGACGCAGACTTCCACATGAGCATTTACATTTGCTTTCCGAATCAACCGCGGGATTGGCCCACATACGCAGTCACTATCAGCTTACTGGGCTTAACGCTCACAGAAACACACACTCATCAAACACCAAAACAGCCACTCTGGAACAGCGCCATACCCCACGGCCACAGCTAGGGGGCAGGTAACTCACGTTGACCACAGTGGCTGAGGTCGGTCAGTTGCAGAGTATGTTCCAAGGTCCTTTGACAGTATTCACATATGATGGTGAATTAACTACAGCTTAACTCGTAAAGGGATTGGGCACAGATAATCAATAGGAAGACTGCTTTTTCTTTTTTCTTTTCTTATTTCATCATGAAACAAGGTGTTGGGTAAATAACAGGCAGCAGCAACATAGGCAGGTAGTGGGAGGTGGGAGGGTGCATGTAAGCAACAGACATGAGTGGCTGAGGCCAAATGTGCCGATCATGACTGGATGTCGCACTAAAAGCTCAATAAATGCTTTTATTTTTGTGCGGGAATTTAAAAGAAAAAAACAAAACATTCTGAGAGTTTTGTTCTTCTCGGAGCAAGTGGCGACAGCCTTTGCCTTTCTCAGAGTAAACCATGTTCTCACACTCAAACCAGTATCGACAGACCTTCTCTGCCTCTGGCCTCACTATGGCTGTCTGCAGCCTTTGGCCAAGCCTCCAGCTGTGCCAACCTGTACAAAGTTATTTCTAGTTGCTGATCTGCAGTCACTGATTCCATTGCAGTTCGTGATGGCTGCCTTTGGCTCGAATCAGCGTCTCAGCCGACCTCAGATCTGCACCTATGAGTGGAACACAGTGAACAGCTCTACACAGAACTAAAGCTATTAACTGTGGACGTTTACTGCATTTTTCTTAAGAAATACTTGTTTGTGAACTCAATGTATGTTAAGATATTTTGTTCAAACATTAGTTAACGGATTAAGTGATACTGTACTTTTTAAAACGATTTTCCTTTAACATAGGTGTTACCCCTGGCTGATCAGGTTTCTTTTCCTGCTTGTGTCACGAAATAATAATATCTGGTTGTCAGTCAGAGGTGACACTTAATCAGATCTTACTCAGACGTTTTTACTGTACAAACCTCCCTGTGCTTTACCCTGAGAGAGGGCGAGATCACAGACTGACGACATAGCAGAAACAGTCCGCAAAGTACCCAACCTCAAAAGTAGAAAGCACCCCTTCCCGATCCTCTTGGCTCATATTTAATTCTTTCAGCTGTGAGTTTCAATTAATAAAGTAGAATGGGTGGTACGGATCAGTCTTAACAGTTGGGATGGTTATCGTTATGAAACAGATTACCCGGTTTTACTAGCTTTTAAAGGTTCCCGTCTCCCCCGTTTAAGAGTTTGATCTAATGTCAGTTCACCTTAGTCAGGGACTGATTTGGTTGGAGCTGCCAGTCCCCATTCTGTCTCCTCTCCTTCACGCTCCTCTTCTCTGTCAAACTAAACTTGATTGTAAAAAACTGAAAATGAAGAAGAAAAAAATGGCATTAAGAGAAACAAACTAATTGTATAAACTTTCTTTCAGACGTGCAGAAGTGATAAGTCGAAGAGTAGCTGTTTTGGATTTATTTTTAAAGAGTTTCCTTCTTTCTATGGAGTCCATGGAACCTGGTCAGTTGAGTATTATTACCCTGTACAGTGTTTGTAAGATACAAACTCTTAACACCGAATTCCCCTCTGTGGATGTTGGACTTTTTGTATTACTTATTTAGTTTTGTCAGTCATCATCATGTCTGTCTTCCTGTCATTTTTGTTGTCATTGAGGTTTAAAAGGCTTGTGCCAGAGGAGGTTGCTTTTATCATTGCTACAACTTGATTGGGTTTGTTTAGGTCTGGGTTTAGAGTCGTGTCTTGTGAAGGGAATAATCAAAATTGGACCTCATTCCTGTGGCATGGAAACCAGTCTCCAGGTTCATCGTTTAACACCAGCGCAAACATTTTTTTTTTTTGGTTTGTTTGTTTCTTCGTTTTTTTTCGGTAACAGACAGTGGAAGGTGAGGGCGGGGTCATTTGGGAAAAAATATCATTAATACCATCCAATTAAGAAGCTGACTTTTCAGAGTGAAGAGACTTTAGGAGGTCTGAAATAGATCCTTGTGGTCCACACTATACGGCAACCAATGTTGTGGAGAAGCAGGCAGTGGGGAAAGAGACAGCCTATTTCATTTTAATTTCCTTTCTTCATGCTAAACTCTCATGGTTAAAAAATAAAGCAAATAGGATGCAATGCTTAAAAACTTCCTTTGATTTAGTCATTTAAAGTAAATCATTCAAAATCTCTTTAGGTTCAGTAATCAGTCCCTTTTCCTCCTGATAAAAATCCTTGCATTATTGCTCTGCTGCTTTTTGTTCTAAATGCCGAAGAGCATGGGCTTTAAAAAGGCCACCGAGCTAGGGGTGAGTTAGCTTGTGCGTGCTGGTGTACATACTAAAATGGCTGGTTTAGCAAAGCAGCAGGCGATGAAGACAAAACAGAGGTAGTGGTTGTTTTGAGGAGAGAAACGTTGTGACTCCATTGCAGCGTGTAATAACTTTACAGTAATGCGGTCCTACAGTTCTAGCTCTGGATTGTTTCCTGAGGAGATCATGTGATTCTGCCAGTTAGAAAAGCATGAAAGGCCTCCGCTTGTTCACTTGGTCAGTCAGAGGTTTCTGTTTAGACTTAGTAGAAGAGGAAGAAAAAAACTTTTTGTCACAAGCTGAAACTGTTCCATCCAAACGAGGGAAGCTATTTTTGATATGGTAGCCAGTCAAAAGTCAACAGATTCTGCTCAAGGTTTTTTTTTTTTTTTTAACTTTGTTACAGCTACTTATTTTAGCAGCAGATTATTTTCGCTCCAAGCAAGAGTAAAATGAGGCTCAGAACCATTTGTAGAAGGAGCATCATCTCTACAATATGACACTAACTCTCGGTGGTAGCTGGAAAAGGTGACACTGCTAGGCCAGCTCTGTTCATGACTAAACAAATGTCAGCATTCCCAATGCTCATGATTTAGCACTTTCGTGGTGGCTTTCCAATTATGTGAAATAATGAACTTTAGAAAAGCTTTAGAGGTTTTGTTGTTGGATGAGCTGTCTTATCTTTGTTTCTGGTCATGAGGCTAAGCTAACCCAACCAGTTCCTCAAGTTACTTTGGATTTACCAAATGTAAAGATAAGATTTGATGATATATGCATCTTGTCAGGCTAATTTAGTCAAGTAATGCAAACATCCTTCTCAAAATTACAAACTGTTTTGATTATTTTGTTGAATCATTTTTCAAAGACAGCAATACAAGAAAGATGTTTTGGAAGTTGTATGCTCTCAAACAAAACTGTTAAGAAATTAGAGATTTGATGCTGATTTCTTGGACAAAAAGAAAAAAAAAAGTTCCTTGAAATCAACTGCACGACTGACTAAACGTTAGTCATACACACATATCATATCAGCTGAAGAGCAATGATGTTGCCCTGATTATATCTGACATGTTTATCTGTTCTTGTTTTTATTCTTTCAATCATTCCATCTCTGCTTGGGCTACAATCATAGACAGACAGCCTGAATTGCTGGTTGTTTGATTGGTTGTTAGTTTGCCTTATAGTGGTTTATATTGTCTTGATGCTGGTCTTGGGAGTCATCAGATCAAAAGAGTGGGCAGTCTTAACTATATGATATATGGCTCAAGATGGAATTCCACTGGTGTTATGACAAAAGGTGAGCCTGGTGAAAATCATAACTCACATAGTGAGGAGGGTTTAGGCTCCCCACTGGTGGACTTTCATATCAAACATACCTTAGTTAGCTATGAGCCCTTTCTGAGACTCATTTTTGTGTTCTGATCTCCTGTGTATGCATACAGTATATGTATCTTTTTGCCTTGATTGATTATGAAGAAAATGTATCTATTTTTTGTAACTGTTCTCTGATGTGCCATAACTCATGTTTTCTTGCACACTGTTAATATTTTGTGGATATTGCTGTTAAAAAAAGATGATATTGAGAAGTAGATAACATTAATAAAAAGATTATATGATAACAAAAACGTTTGTTGTTTGCTGGACATAAAAATATCAAGTTTATATTAGCCAGTAAAATATGAAATATGCACAAAAAACATTTATATGCAATCTAAGAAGTTTTAATTTTTGTAACATATCTCAGATGATTTACTGAATTGCCAAGCAAGTGAATAGTCTACGAACCTTCAGGTTTTATCTTCTCTTTGTGGTCTCATGTTTTTGTCCTTCTCAGTCTTTAATGATACAAAGAGCTGGTGGTTGCACATGCTGAGACCTTATGCATACATGGTGTGTGCAGTCCAAAGATAGAAACACAATGCACCAAACAGCAGAAACAAAGGCCACAGCTAAGTAGAACCACCCAATAGGGGCATTTGACAGGAATGTCATCGGTACAATGTCCGTGTTCAAGGCCACGTGGGAAATGCTCAAAGCTCTGCTTTGACAGTCACAAGACTCTTTCAACTTTTAAACCAACTACAACTGATCCCTCAGAAACTCACAGGCAATCACAACTTGGGTGTATGAGCCACAGCCAATAAGAAGGCAGTCCTGGATCCAGTTTCAAATGGTAAACTAGTGGGTGGTCCATGTGCCTGAGTGTCCGTCTCCCAGCTGTTCCACACTCATAACTGTGCACAGACATGTGAGAGCGAAATAGAGGGTGGATACTAGGATTACAAGGAGATAAAGCAGCATGGGTGGGGTTAGCCGCACATTTTAGCATGCATTTGCAATGTTTACCTTTTCATAGTGTGTAACATCTATGCACATGGAATCCTCAGAGATATTAGGTAGTTCTACTGTTAATTTGAGTCTTACCATAAACTTTTTTCTAAAAGCTTCCTGCAAGTCTGCATCAGCTTGCTTTGCCTGTTTGCTGCAGGACAATAAGTTTCTGCCTCCACCCTGGTTTCACTCTGACTTGTTTACTATAACAGAAAAGCCTGTCATTGACAAAGACTTTGACCCAAGCGTGCATACATTTTTCACTCCTGCAATCCCAGAACAGTGCCAGTTACATAATGCATATTTTTCCAAGGTAAACACGTGGCTTGTATTTTGAAATTATAAAAGAGACCTTTGTTATTAATATAATAATTTAATGGATTACATGAGCACAAAAAAATGAACCACAAATAGTGAGCAAACTAATAATGCAATAAATAAATGTGTCTACTTTACTTTGTATCAAATGAGCACAAATATGCTGGTTTAATTTATATTAGCTATTTAAAGACAGTTTTTTTTGCTTGGCATATAGTCCAGTCTGTATCGACATGAGGTCAAATCTAAACCGAAACACATTATGTTCTGAGCCCCTACTGTATTTTTCAGCCCTGCAATGTAATGCAGTTTTGGTGTTTCCATGGTGACCACTCCTCCACGGGTTCAGCTGCTCATTTCAACAATGCACATGCCGCACACCCAGTGTGTCCTGAAAACACATGTATGTGCATACCACATAAAAAAAACACACACCCTTTCCCTCAAGAGACTCTCCCAAGTCCCACACACACAGGAATGTCAGGTATACAGTAGTTTCACCTTTACACACTTCTGTCCAAACAGTAAGCACACAAATATTTCAGGTGTAAGCTTGGGTGTGGATGAGTCCTTATCAAACCCACTGCTCCGTTTACTCATCAGTGCCACAAGCCTTTCGACATTGTGAGTGCCCAAACAGAGGCCCGGTTTTCCAGCTGGCGAAGAAATGATGTGGCCTGTGTGTCAGACTGGTTTGTTTTTCTGATTTTCTTTTTCCGTAGACACTGATTTTAGAAGCTAGTCTTACTTTCAAGTGTCATGCAGTCACTGAATGGGAATCTCTTGCCCCTGCTTGTCTTCAGTCTGCGCCGCGTAGACCTACAAGGCCGAGTCCACTCTAGGCCACTGCCACTTGCGCATCAAGATCCTTCGTTTATTCTTTTTCTGAACCCAGGAAGCTTCTGTGAGCACGAAGACCCCTCAGCGGTCCTGCAGGACCAGTTCAGGCACCCACTGGTCAATACGCCGACTCTCCTGGCAGTACACCCCCACCTCCTGCAGCCTGTAGTGGTCCGCCTGAGGGTTCTGCATAGAAAGATCAACCCAGTCATACTCTGTCTTCATGGTGACTTTGGTTTTTAGACTGTGTTTGCACCTCACATATAGAAATAAAAGTCACATGGAAAAATGCACACAAAGGTCACAAGTTCCAAGACTTGCAGTATACTTATAAAATACTTTATCTGTAGCTTCTTAGTTGCATGAAAAATAAGCAATTTCAGCATACCGTCACCAGCATGCAGTGAAGATCTCGGCACCCTTCCTGGTTTCTGTTGGCTTCATCAGCTCCCAGAAGCTGGTGGAGCCGCCGAACCCCTGAGACACGCAGGATGGTGATGCCGCTGTCGCAACAGAAAGACTGCAGCAGCGTGAAATGGATCTGCAGCGCCACATCGTCCTCGTCGTCCACCGCCAGCACACACAGGACCACGCTGTCTGGATCTCTGAGGCAGAAAAAAATAAATAAAAGAATCTCAGGAAAAATACACTTGCACTGACACGTCCAAAGCAGCAATAACAATTGTGTGTAATTCTCTAAAATGTGGGAGGAGCATCTAATGGTTTCAACTCACATGTTGAGAAGTTTGGCTGATTCATAGATGCCAGTAGTCAGGCAGTCCTGTTTCTGAGCAGTTACAAGCAGCTCCTCCAGAGCCAGGCTTGCTGACTGCATCCTGAGCATTAAAAGAGAAAAGTTACCCCCCTGTGCACAATTCTGTCCATGTTAAATTCATACAGATCCTGCAAAAATTGCATCCAGAACTTAGATAAAGTTATGAAATATTTTTATAGGCAAAATCAATAAAGAGAGGTCACATGAATACTACGATTCGTCATTTATCTAGCTAAGGTTATTTGTTGTGTGGATGAGTGAGGTACTATTCTGGAATTCAACTAGAATTCGCCATAGTACAAATTGTACGTTTATGCCTTGCAGATGAACAATTCTGCAACGTGCATGCACACTTTTACGGAAGGGTTAGACTGGGTATTGCACAAACAGCATGCGAGTTGAAGTTCCATGCAGTTTCTCCGCGTTGTCACAAAATGTGCAACAACTCAGAGCTCTGGAGAGCCTGGAACTCAGCTCACGGCGACCGGTTTAATTGTATCAGTGTCACCAAATCAGGTCAAAGGACGACTGGCATGCCTATCCTGCACATCACACGCACAGAGCACAACACCACTGGGAATATTCTCACCTTTTCTCAACGGAGCCAAAGCTTTCCTCGGGAGTCATGTTTGCAGAGTTGACTTTTTCCCCCAGTGAACAAAGCGCGTAACAACAGTCCCAAGGTTCGAGTATGTGTTTGCAGTTGGCATGGTTGCGAAACAGTTTATATACGGGGACTCAGCAGAGGGAGGCACCCAAAGTAGCCAGGGTTTGCAATTGGCTTGGGAAAATAAACTTAACCTCTCCCTTTTGTCATGTGGACTCGTGGCTGCATTTGTTTTGCTCCATTTGGCGATGACATGGCACAATAAAGATCCAAATTCGCTGTGTCATTCTGAATAGAGTTGACATATTACATGAAGAAAATTACAACACAGGCGCTTATGAAATTCTGACTGACATCTAGTGGCTGAATGATGGAAATAAAAGCGTATATAATGGAATCGTTGCGAAACTAGTCACAAGAGTCAGTGGTCATGTGTTAAAGCATTGATGGAAAAAAAAGAAATCATAACTGCTTCATCTGCACTTTTCTTAGAGAGCCCAGGTGACTGAGGAGAAAAAAATCACTGGCATGAAATACAAAAAAGGGAGTGAATATTTTTAATCTCCTGTAAACATAAACATTATCCAGCTGTTCTGCAACCTTCACATCGCAGCTGCCGGTGGACATTTGTTTCTAATGACTTGAACAGAGGATGAGGATATCTAAATCCGAAAAGGGCTAGAAGTGTTAGACAGCCTGCCATCTGCAGAACTTCTAACTATTGTGAGAGAGACATTGTAGTTTACAACTGACTGCCTGCAAAGGGAGACAGGTATCTCTAATGGAAAGGGCCCACAGATTGACAATCTGCATTACAATTGTTGAAGGAATGCGAATCCTTGTTGGTCCCAAACTCACATCGTACAAAGACTCTAAACATTCTTGAAGGTGAAATGTGAACATTTAAAGTAAAGGATTGGACATTACATATTTACTGTAACCTATGCCAAATAAATTATGTAAAGGTTAAAAAAAGTAAGAAGTCGTCTGACTGAATTTACCATACGGGATTTTACACTGGTCTGTGATCCTAAACCTGGTCAATGCATAAACACCAACCCACACCACAGTCCAACAGCCAGTTTGGCCTGTATATTTTCGGCATTATGTCTTTCATTGAGGCGGCACGGTGGTGTGGTGGTTAGCACTGTCGCCTCCCAGCAAGAAGGTTCTGGGTTCGAATCCCGGGGGAACCAGGACTTTTCTGGGTGGAGTTTGCATGTTCTCTCTGTGTCTGCGTGGGTTCTCTCCGGGTTCTCCGGCTTCCTCCCACAGTCCAAAAACCTGCATGTTAGGCTGATTGGAGATTGGGGAAATTGCCCTTAGGAGTGCATGTGAGTGTGAGTGGTTGTTTGTCCTTGTATGTCCTGTGTGTGGCCCTGCGATGGACTGGCGGACCGTCCAGGGTGTACCCTGCCTCTCGCCCGTTGACCACTGGGATAGGCTCCAGTTCCCCCCGCGACCCCATCAGGGAATAAGCGGTATTGATAATGGATGGATGGATGGATGTCTTTCATTGTTGTCTTGTGCTCATGTCAGAAGTGCTCATGGTCATTCTCCCAGATCCTCAGTTGAAATGGGAAACAACCTAAACACTGTCTTGGTGTGGAGAGTAGAGCTAATTGGGGACTAGTAGGTGGAAACTCCCCAAATGCTTGGTGTGATTTTTCTTTTATAAGTGACATCCATATAAATATCCATTTCACCTCAAAGATAAGTTTCAGCTGCAACTAAATCTTAAATCCAAGCTCAGTTTAGAAGACCTGTGCAATCCCATTCTACTTCTGGGCTCAAATGAACATCTAATAAACGTTTCTCCCGCCAGGTTATTGATTAACTTGGTTTTAACTTAGTTTTACTTTCATTCTGACAAAAAAGCTGTATACAGCCACAGTGAAAGCCCTTCAACTCGTGAAGAAGCAAGCTTGTTAGCATCATTCGATTACAAAAACCTTCTTTCCTTCAGGTAAGTTTTGAAACACCTACCTATTTCCACTGTGTTCAACTTTAATCAGTGTATTCAATATTTCAATGATATTAATCATTTAAGTAAACCTTCAATTCAACGGCGAAGGTTTACTTTCACTTTTTATTTGCATACAGGGTAATGTTTTATACAACTCGATGAGCTGTTCTTAGACCAAATTGAAAACACATTTTGAAGAAATGAAGTGAAAAAGCATCTGTGGAACCTTCCTTTGAGATTAAAACGAGAATAATGTCTTAGACCCCCGTGCGTATTCATGCGAATCGGGACTAGATGACGTGCAGAAGAATACGTAGTCCATTACGGTACTCGGGCGAAAGATTGCTTCGCATCTCTGCAGTATTTGTTTGAAAATGATCATTTCAAATTTTCTGATTCTTTGAGTTTCTTTGGAAACTCAAACCTACTTAACTAAAAGCCCCCAAATAATGCGACATGAACTACGGGTTCTAACAGTTTTGTTTGTTATTAAGAACAGACCTGACCTTTAATTTTCCACACAAAATCAGGTTCTGCTATCTTAGAGGTCTCCCTGACAGTTTGAATTATTATTCAAATTCATTTGTAAGGGGGAGGCACAAAATAATTATATTAAAAACCATAGAATTATATCATTGTGAAAAAGTCTTTCAAAAGATAGATTTTATTCGTAGCACTTTCTGTAAGACATCACAGAAAAGTAGGAGACTGGAATTGGAAATACAACTATTTCTAAGGCCTGTGAATAGGGGTGTTTGGAGGTACATTCTGTTACCGGCTCCAATTTATTGAGTGGAATGTTAAAATGCAATCATTTGGAAGCCTTCAAGTATCAGCCAAATTGAGTCAAGCGTGTTCAGATACATTTGATTATGTTCTTTTCACAGCAGTCTGTTAGCATACAATTCTTGTGTCATAAAAGTCTATTGTAATGTCTACATCTTTAGGTGAATTTTGACCTCCCATCATGCCAGTTGTCACATCCAGCCTATCCAAAGACCAGCAGACCAAGCTGCTGTCTCTCCTCGGCCATGTCAGACTCCACCTGCTGTACAAAGCCAGCATCCATGGGTTCACTGCTGCTGCCTTCCATGGCTACTGTGACAAGCAGGGCTCCACCATCATTGTGGCCTATAATGCTGTTGGGTTTGTCTTTGGGTCTTACACCTCCAAGGACTACACCAAGAGTGGACAGCCAGTAGATGATGCAGAGGCTTTCCTTTATAGCATCACTGCTTCACGAAAGGAGCCGCTGAGGGTAGCAGGCATTACAGGTCAGCCTGCTTTCACAGACGGAGACTCTGGTCCAGATTTCGGTGCTTTGGTGTTCCTGCAAGACGACACACCTGCGCTTCAGTCCAATCCAGGCAAGAGTTTCCAATTCCAGCCCAACGATATGCACGGAGGCGACCTGGTGCTGACTGAGTTTGAGGTGTATCGAGTTGAGGGTACGGAACAGTAAACTCTTGCTCTTATTGGGATTATTCTAATTTCCCTAATTAGCTTATTATATGGTTTGAACTTCAAAACGGTGACTCAGAATGTGCTGTTTATTTTTTTTGTTTGCTATTCACATTCAGATTTGGGGAATTTTCTGGAAAAGCCATGGAGGAAAGTCCAGTGGACAGCTGAGTATGTAAAAATTCATAGGAACTTTTTAAAATCCTTCCTGTGGAGTTAAATTGTATTGTATGTGTGTGTTGATTACCAAAAGTAAATTATGGTTTCTTAATTCCTTTAGCAATGTGTCAATGAAGAATAGTTGTAGCAGCTGACTGCAGGTAAAACACAGAAATGGCAGTAAATGATCGCTATGATACCTGTGCCCTACAGGAGAAAAGAGCAACTGATGAGAGTCATCCAGAAATACCAGCCTGAGATCAAAACGGTGCATCAAGCCCGGGTGTTGCTAGTGGGTCCTGTTGGGGCTGGTAAATCCAGCTTCTTTAACTCAATCAACTCAGCTTTTAGGGGCAACATGACTTCCCAGGCCATCACTGGCACGGCAGGAAAAAGTCTAACCACCCAGGTACTCAGAATTTTTTTTCTCCAGAATCATCTGCTCAGAAAATGAGGGCAAAGTTTAAAAAATATACGAAGCAAAAAAAGCAGAAAAATTAACAATATTTCTAGCTGACATGGTCAGTTTGAACCTCTCTTGAGGTCTGATCATGGGAAAGCAAAACTGAGGCTTTCTGCTTTAACTGAACTCTCTGTGCTTCTAATTAGCATTTTATGTCCTGTAGTTTCGCACCTACAGCATCAAGGTTGGAAAAGGTGGCCAAACTATTCCTCTGGTCCTCTGTGACACAATGGGGCTGGAGGGGAACGCAGATGCTGGTTTAGACATAGAGGACATAGTCAACATCTTCAAGGGTCACATCAAGGATCGCTACCAGGTCTACTTCCCAAATGCCTTCAAAGTGCTTTCATTATAAACACTGCAGGGTACTGATTGATTTACGTAAGATATTTTTGTTTTCCCTTTAGTTTAGTTCAAGTGTGTCCCTCATGGAGGATTCTCCTGGCTATAAAAGTGACGCAACCCTGAATGACAAGATTCACTGCGTGGCTTATGTGGTTGACACCTGCAAGGTTTCACTTCTCAGCGAAAAAATGCTGAACAAGTTTGCTGACATCAGGAAAAAAGCCAATCAGCTGGGTAGGCAGTTAAACATTATTTTTAGAAAATCTTTTTAGCCGGTCTTCAATTCTGTAGTATTTGGTACATATGAAGTAAGACTTTTTCATTTTTGTCTGACTCTTCCATCTAAAGCATAGACCTCTCTGAACGTTTGCCTTCAAATTTCTCTTCATGTGGTATTTCGTCTGTTTGTCCCTGACAGGAATCCCTCAGATTGTGTTGATGACTAAAGTAGATGAAGCCTGTCCACTGGTTGCACAAGACCTGAAGAATGTTTATCGAAGTGCTTACATCCAGAAGAAGGTAAAGTCTTTATCATTTTAAAAGCAACTTGTTGTGGTGGCAGTGGCAAATAAATTGCTGCACATTTGTCTCACTACGTCTCAGGCACGCCAGTTGAGTGAAACTCTGGGCATCCCTTTATCCTTTGTGATGCCAGTGAAAAACTACAGCCAGGAGTTGGAACTGGACCAAGACACCGACATAATGCTCCTTACAGCCGTGGAGCAAATGTTTAACTATGCAGACAGCTTTTTTGAGAACCAGAATAAAGAAGGAGAGAACAGTCAGCTTGAGCTCTGCAGATCCAACGATTATCTCCGCCCAGGTTTAAGTGAGAAAACCGAACATCAGATTGTCTGAAGCCTACTGAGTCCACTGATCAGATATACGTTACAAAAGTTATACGAATTTCTCTATAAGCCTAAGTCAACAGCAAGCTGGCACACAGATGGGCATACAGCATATACAGTATAACAGTTTTCATCAGCTTAAAACATTAAGACATTTCGTTTGACCAATGTCATTCTCCATTGAAGCTTAAACTCGCTTGGAAAGGCTTTTGTTCTTGATTTGCTAAAAATTCTTCACAAAAGGCTTTGAGGAGTTAAATATTGCAGCTAAAAAAAACAAAGGTTAAGTTAAAAGTTCACTGAAATCGCATAAACTCAATTGTTGCCATTGAAATGTTATTTTCGTTTGTATTTGCACATATCAATAAACTGTGGGATCTATTTCTTACTTTCCTGGGATCATATGAAGAAATAAGGAGTATCTTTTGCACATTGCTGTCTTCTTTTTAGTGCTTTCATTCAGAACATGTTATTGTTATCAGCAGGTCTTCCCTTTGTCACCTGAATCAATCAGATAAGAAAAGTGAGTTGTAGATACTTTTTTTTACCCCCTTACCTTTTTTATTCTTATAAAATTGTTTAACTGGCAGTCAGTAATGAATTACTTGACATGATTGGATAGTGGTGCAGTGGAAAAGGAAAAAAAACTGTCAGCATTTCTATGGTGATAAATATTCTTTATTCATACATTACTCCCAGTCCAACAACCCATACATTTTGACAATTAGAAAGTGAAAATGTGTTAATAGTCACCTGACCACCTCTTCTATCACCGCTCTCCCACCACAACACACCGCTCTTTCTTTTCATGAATATCATGAAGGAAACCATACACAGGACATATTTTATACATGCAGAACACATACACATTTACCATAGTTACAATTCACTGTGAGGTTCAGGTATTTATTACCCTCCACTCACAAGTGATGCGTAAAACTGTTGACGAAGGGAAGAAGAGAAATATTAGCTATGTAATCAATTTGCATTCAACATCCTCTAAAATATCATTTGCGGAAATTAAAGGTGATTGCATAATCCAGATTTTTTTTTTCACCCAAGAATAATACAAAACTAGGGGGATCTTTAATGCATCTACATTATTACAAAAAATGTTCAGAGTTTTTTTTGTGATTCTCTAAATTAATGTTACTGTTTACATTTTGGTGATTTACCATGCTTTGGTATTAAGGGAACTCAAGATGCATTGAACATGTGACCTAAAGGCCAAATAGAAACACAGAAAGATTCATATGCATCTCAACATTTGACATCCAGACGAGGAAGGCAAAAAGGGGTCAAATGTAATATAAATGCTCCTTTTCACTTTCTTGAAATAGCATTTAAAGTATCAAAGATCAAAGAAGTCAAGGGAATGTATTTAACCTCAGAACAATAAAAGTGGAAATCCACAATGACCTGGACATTTGTCAATTGAGCATGGGCTTTTTTCCTTCATCACAGATTCCATACAATTTTGTTTATTCAAGGATAATTTGTGACGCTAAACGTTTGTAATATAACATTTAAATTCCTGATTGTGTTGGTAAAACTGGCTGTGGCGACCTTTCATAATGTGGTCATATGGGAAGTCTTTCCTGTTTTGCTCTTTGAGTTCCACTTTAGGGATGACTTTGACACATATACAATCAGCTTTTCATGTACTCTTATTTACAGCTTGTAAAGCTCCTATTCCCACCCACTGTGACTAAACCGTGATTTCACGCTGTGCAAAAAATTGTTTTAAAACTTACTGTACGATCACTGCACATCCACAACTAGAAAAACCCAGCTCATCTGTTACTTTTAGCAAGACACTAAGTGATTATCTATTTCGACAAAAGCATTAGCAAGCTGGTTCTTAGTTTGCATGACTATGAGCACTTTTAAAGGATTACCATTGCAAGACCACTCTTAATAACACGATTGCTGTCATTCTTAGATTTAATCTGATAATCCGCTCTGTCAGACTGAACAATCATCATTTGCTGGTGGCTGATAGGGGTTCACAAAGTAATACTCAGTCTCATTGTGCTGCATAGACCTTGACATAAAAGCCACAATTACAGAAACCTGTTAAAACAGTAACAGCCCAGCTCACGTCTGCTTACAGTTGCCTCTGGAGTGGCTGGATAATATCACTAGATGTAGCAAAAATTAGCCACACTACTAAGCACCGACTATGAACACTTGTAAATACAAGTCTACTGTAGTTTACTGGCTGACATGCTTCACCTGCAATCAGTACGTTGTCCTCTCCTGTAGTGCACAGGGTCATGGGTCTAACAGAAAAAAAACATGCTGTACATAGATGAGTAAAGGAAATTTGAAGGCCTTCCGCTTAAAAAAAAAAAGAAGACAAACAAGGTAATTTATCATTAGTGGGTTTTTTTCTCATCCACTCAGTCCCGTGCATGCTTAAAGGGGCTGACCAGCTCCCCATCATGTCAGTTTCCTCAGTCTTTCCCACTAATTTTCACATTCCTTCCTTTATTTCCCATGCTATGGCTCAGAACTCTATCTTACAGGCAGGAAACGTCTCATCCTGCATGGCCACAGTGCTGTTGGAACCCAGGACGGTGATGTTCAGCTCCCGCTGTCTCTCCAGAGTCTGCTGGTACCACTCCTGCATTGTCACCGACTCAAAAGTGGGAATCACTGTTACCTGGAAACACAGGGATGGACACTTTTTGGTATCCACGATGACACATACACTGATTATCTGCCATGATATAATGACCTCAGACTGTTTAAACCAGTCACTGTGCTCCAATTATCACAATGCACCGTTGTACTGGGAAGACACTCATTCCGGTATTTTTTAAAAATATTTCCCACAAATTGAATATGTTGCTTGTTCTTCGTTGTCAATCATTGCATCTTTTCAAATCAATTAGAAAATACTTAGAAGAATGTTTAATGAATAATATGTCTCATAGTTGCCTTATTGAGTTTATAGTAGTAGAAGACAAATATACTGAGTTAGACCAAACTTGCCCCAAATCTATATCTCAAAACTAAATAAACAGACCCAAATAATAGGGCTAGGGGTAAAATTAATCCAGGATGCATGCACTCAATTTCTCATCTTGTGTGCATATTCTATATCATGAGTGTGTTCATACAACTACATTTCTAATAAAGATACATATATCTCTGTTTGACAGAAAACAGACTTTATTTCCGCCTGTGAAAAATACTATAAACTCCTGTTTCTCTGTAGGACTGTAAAGCAGTCTGTGCCTTTTCAAAAGTTAAAGTAGAGTGCAGTTTTCTCAAATTGCCATTTTCTTTTGTTCTGGCCAGAACTAAATTGGGAGAATCTTGTCATTTCGGCGTCATGATGATTCAAAGAGTAATCTCCTATGACTCATAACCATTTTTGTATTCTAAAAACATAAAAATGGAGGCCTCTGAAATCTCTTTAGCGCTGCTTGAACTGCAGCATGCAAATGTTGAAATATTTCTTTGTGTTTCTACCTGCATTGTGTCAGGCCAGGACATCTTGCCGTTCAGTAGAGCTTCCAGAGTGTTCTTCATTAGCTCCTCCCGCTCTGGACTGTTGCCACTGATGATGTAGCAGGAGGAACGAACACATCTGAAGAAGTCCACACTGACGGTGGGAGAGGAGGCTCCAGAGGGAATATAGGCCAGGTCCACATACAGGCTGACTTCCTCCGCAGAGGTAGACTTGGAGCCTGCGGCAGACACAACAGCGAGGAGAAGCTACTTTCCAACTGCGTCGACACCTTTTAAAACTGTGGAAAAGATCAAGTTCCGCATTCCATACCTGAAACCTGTGCCGATTTGGGTGGTGCTGAGCGAGTGCTGGAGGAGAGGGTTCGAGCAGAGGAGACGTTCCCCTTTGTGATCCCTGTTTGGCTCCCCATCCTGCTTTTCCCTGTGCTGGATTTTTGGGGGCCTTCAAGGTTCTGGTTGCAAAAACAAGTCAAAGTGTTTAGAAGGGTGAACATCAGGGTGAACTCAAGTCATTGAGAGTATTTCACCCTCAAAATAATGGTAAATGAAATAGGTAAAAGGATCAGATTTTACTGCATTGACTATATCTACGAATAGGTTATTCTGCTGAGGAAACACATGCATCAACTTAGTAGCTGTGCACAGGAAGGGCCACAGCTCTCTGTTTATTTTCTTTTATTTGACAATAATCACTTTTTTATATCTTACCATTTATCATTTTATAATCAGCGTTTGTTTTTAGAACAAGCCTCATTGGGAAATTCTTAGCCTAAGACTCTCTACAGCAACATTGAGCCATGATAAAACAATTTATGAAGCAAAGTGAACTCCTACACGACATCACTGCAGTTTTCTTCTATGCTAATACAACCTACTCACCCCTGGCATTTGTTTGCCTCGCTTGCCGGTAGTTTTTGCTCTCTTCCCCTGAGTATCAGACTCAGACTGAGGAACCGGCATGGAGGCGTCAGGATGCGGAGGCAGGGGCGGGCTGTCCCTGAGCGGGGCTGGGAGAGGGTCCGGCGGCAGAGCACAACTGCTGTTGAGGTCACGTGGAGAGTTGGACGGCTCGCTACATGAGTCATCCTCATCTGAGTCCAGAACTCCATCCGCTGTGGTGGACGGACAGTCCTCCGTGCAGGCGGGGGCGTTCGACTCGCTGGGAGACCCGTCTTTGGGGTTGTTGTTGTTGTTGCTTTGATAATGCGGGGGGAAAGCTCCTCTGGAGGCCTCACTTGCACCCGAGCTGGAGTCAGGCGCTTTGAAATGTTTGAACTCGCACGGAGAAACCAAGCACAGGTCCACGTCGTGAGCCGATGTCTCAAAAGGAAGTGTGTTTGGTGCCGGAGGGCGGCCCATCTCTGAACCCTGACCTAAAGATCTCGGGGGCTTCTTCACCGACAAAGGCATCCCCACAAAAGGAGCTCCATTGGAGTGGGAGTGATACCCACAGTCGTCTCCTTCCCTCTGGCTCACAGAGGTTGGTCCCTGCTCGAAAGACATGGATAGGGACTCATCTACTTCTGTGGACTGAGGCGAGCTCACTTCAGCTGGCATCGAGTGTGTCGTGGTGGTGGTGGTGGTGGCCACGGAGGGGGACGGGTCCGAGCACGCCTCTTTAAACGTACCCAGTGGAAGGAAGCTCAGATGCTTCTCTCGGCCGTGTCTGGGGTTTTCTGGTGCACCTTTGGCCTGAGATGACTGCCCATCACTTTGCCTGGATGACCCATTTGGCTCAGCTGGATCTGGGTTACTCATCTGGGCCTGGATCCGGCTAAGAGTGGCCCTGTTGCACCATACGTCATCAGGAGACAGACAGTAGGGAGTGTGGCCTGCGCTGTTGGGCCGTGAGTCTGGGGAGGCTGGCTCCACGGTCTCCTCATCAGGGCTGTTGGGGGCCTGGTTCTCCGGGGAGGATTGTGAGGGGGGGGTGTTTCTCAAAGCCCCGTCCAGAAGAGTGTACTCAGTTGGGGTTGTATCCTGGACTTCCTGGTCGTTCTTTGGTGCCATAGTTAGGGGAAAAGGAAATCCCACAATTTTTGCAGGCTTTCTTGAATCTACAGGAACTTCTGGAAGGTTTTTCTTGGGGTCTGCTTCTGCTTCATCACAACCTCCTGTCTTAAGCTGCCCTCCTTCTTCCCCGCTTTCCTCTTCTATTGCCCCCGAGCTATCTGCTCCTTCCCCTGCTGATCTTTCAATAGTTGTATTGCACATCTCTTCATTCACGCTTTCTGAGCTCACTTTTTCTTTATCAGCAGTTTCCACCTGTGCCTTCTCCACTCCGGCCTCCTCTTGGAGTTGGAGAAAATCGTCTGTCATGTCTTCAGGGGTAGACAACTTGGAGCCACAGGGCTTCTCTACAGGCTCTGTTTCCATCTTTTGATCTGTCTGCTCAGCAGTGAGGCACTCTGGGCCAGGGGTTTTTGACTCATCCGCAGCACTGAGTCTCGCTGAGTCGTTATTTGGCTGTTGGCTGTTCATATGCAATTTCTTGTCATCCTTCACTTCCTTTCCTTGTTGCTTGCGTGTTTTCTTCTCTGCTGTTTTCGAGTCATTTTTGGCCTCCTTTTTTAACCTTGTTTTGTTGTCATTCTTCCATTTAGAAGGAATAGCATCCCTTTTCATGGGCTCGTTCCTCGTGAGACTGTTTTCCTCTTTATTTCCAGACTTCTCTCGTCTGCCATTATTTCCCACTCCTTTCTTTGAAGTATTCTTTTCAGATAATGATGCTTTGTGTTTTAATCCTGTCTCTTTGGTTTTGTTTTTATCAGGATCTCTTGCACCCAGTCCATTTAAAGTCTTTCCTTTTTCCTTTGATACATCCTTTGTCTCTTCTTTAACCACTCGTTCTTTCCCATGCTTAACGGTGCCCTCTTTCCCCTGTGACCTGCAACTGTCCAAGCTTTCTGTCCGCTTTGTTTTTCTGTCCTCCCCAAGTCTTTCGAGGTCTCCAGTTGTCACAGTGGGTTTCCGAAGGAAGTCCAAGCCTTTGAGCTTCTCCAGTCCCTGCAGCAGTTTTGCTTGTGGAGTCGAGCCTGGAAACAGAACCCTGACCACCTTCTCTTGAGGGCAGGCTGGATGCCACACCAGCAGAGCGGTAACTGAGGTCAGGGCGGTCAGAGGGAGAGTTGGGGGTTTGGACGCTGATGACACTGCATCTGGCCAATTTTGCATGAATGTCTCATACTCCTGGCTGTTTTTGCCTGGGTTTAGAATGTATAAGTCAAGCTGTCCCACTCCCATCTTTTGAAACAGGGTTAGGGGCTTGATAGGGGTTCCTTGTGGTCGAAACATTGGCTGTGGCCTGATGTCCAACTTGTTTAACAGCTGTAGGGTGGAGGCCGCCTGCTGTGTGCTTGTAAGTACACTATCCACACCTAACAGAAGAAAGAACGATAACTTACAACACATTCCAAGTTGCTCATGTTACTTTACTTATCAATACAATCTCTCCACATAAGGGATTTGTAAGTGGTTGTTCTTATTTCTTACAGAAATGACAAAATATTTTTTCAAATTCTGTCTATACAATCTCACTTCATCATAGAGTTTGTCTGTTGTTCTGAGTATCAGCAGGTGTTTATGTGGTACTCACAAGGCTGTTGGTCCACATTTAATTTGCCGGGGGCATTAAAGAACACAACTCCCAGCTCTGGAGAGATGAGCCTCTTAGAGGAGTCATCTGAGATGGAAAAACAGAAAGTACCAGTGAGAAAACATTTCAAAGTGGCAAAATCCTATAATTCTATCTTTTTACAAGTTTTTACCTTTGACATCAACGCTCAGTTCCTTCTCTGACACCTTCCTCTCGAGGAAGGATACGATACCAGGGAGGTTCTCTGTACTGACGTGCGTCAACAAGATTGCGTCAATCCGGTCGAGGTGGCGAACCAGCTTCCAGAAGCAAGCTTGAGAGTCTGAACCCCCATCCACGAGCACCGTGAACCCGTTAACGGCAAAGAAGGCACAATCACCACGGCCAGCAGGGAACACATAACAGCAGGGGCGGGAAAGCTTAAGGAAACCCACAGTAGCAGGAGGTGGCAGGAGGTCAAAGGGGGACGCGGGGCAAATGGTGCCAGAGATGAGGGAGGTAAATTCCCCCAGGGACTCCATGGCTGGCAGCACCTCTGGGGGATTGATGTGGAGGTTGAAGGGGGCCTGCAGGGGCAGATCTCCCAGGAGGATCTTTCTCCACTGGCTGATAACTGGACAGCTGAGAGTCACATTCACTTTGATGGAGGGGTGTGAGGATGCAGAGCTCTCCTGTTCCAGGAACTGAAGAAAGAGATTTTAGCATGCAATTAGTTACTTTATAAGCAACTTCCAGAATGATATTATGGATTTTATTATGTGTCAGTCTCAGATTTCTGTAAACTCATATTTCAGCACTATCTATATCAACAGTGAAAGAAACTACACTCCCTTTGCTCTCTTTGATATCCATCACATTTAGAGCAGGTGATCATAAAAGTAAATTGGTTGAGCCGTGAAAGAAGCTTAAATACTTGGTTCTATACAAAAATGTTCCATTTAAATACAAATTGGGAAAATCTTCCTCAGCCAACCTACGTTAAATAATCCAGAGCCTTTCACTGAAAAATGGCTTTAAGAAGCTTTAAAAAAAAACTAATTACACTGTCTTTAACCCAGCCCCAGTTCATGGCTGATTACCACAGTGTGAGGCAGCACTGGAGCCGAAACAAGAAGAGACAACTGGAGACAACGGAGATAAAGAGGGAGAGCAGACACAGAGAAGCAATCTGTGACCTTTCATTCCTCCATTTACCTCTTAGAATATTACACACATGAGAATTCAAAGAATGGTATGTTTACAAATTGTTTCAATTGGTCTTTCTCATTCCTGTGTGAGAGCACAAACAGGATATTTAATATCTGTGTAATTTCATTTTTATCTGCAAAGGCTACACTTCAATCCACGTGTTTGAGCCTGTCTTCGTCTGTATAAATAGTTCATTTTCCACAGTGATTCAAGGCTGGTAGAATGTTAGACAAAAGATACCTGCTCTGTTAGAATTGGTTTGAGTTGATGTGGTGAAAACAGTCCTTTGTGAAACAGCAGGTCTCCACTTTCCTCCACATTCAGGCCAGCCAAGATTAGCAGCTTATGAGCTGATTCCCTGGACAGCAGAGCCAACACCTGAGCGTAAACAGGAGTGGTTAGAAACCATGAAGAGCATGTAAGCTCAGAGCAGATTCATTCATTAAGATAACATGTGAGTTATTGTTATATTCTTCCATTGAGATTTAAATTGAGCTCCATCATGAGTATACTAAATTTTATTTTTATGTCTTGTCAGTTTGTCACTTATATGTATCTCTATCTTCGGAAAATGTTTATTTAAATGGATAAATGTTGAATTGAGACAGTCTAGGAACCCATCATTTTTACGGCACTGTCAGTTGTTTTATCCCTGCTCTTCTTAAAACATCACACTCCCTTTACCTCTGAATGAGCCTGTTCCTGAGATGGGCTGATCAGTACCTGAGTGTCCAACACTCTGGTACAGTGACGCAGACACCTCTGCCCTGAAGAGGCTAAGAGAAAAACCACAGAAAGAGGGCGACATACAGACAGAAGGCCGAGAAAAAAGAAAAAGAGAACAGTCAGAGTTGAAAACAAGCTAACAATTCCAGGGTGTCACAAAATGTAAACAAGAAAGTGAACTGAGACAAGCAAAGGGGTGATTGATTCAAAAGAAGAGGAAGGAAGAAGAGTAGAACTGTTGAGTCAGATGGACTGTCTGTGTGAATGGATGTGGATGTGAATCCACATTGAGGGAATTTGACAAATGTCCACATTTTCTTTCTTGACATAATCTTGCTACATGTCTGGATGCTATTTTTTAAACCAGCAGGCTTGGTATACATACTGGAATTGAGGAAAAAAGCTAACCTCGAGAACTCCTTAGAATCTCCTTTGTTTGGTTCTAGTGGACAGGAAAGTCCTCAAAGCCACATTTTTACCCTGAAGCCATTACAATGTTTTTGATCTGATCGTCCAGATTTTAAGAAAATCACCTCTTTTCCCAGCATGACTTACTCAACAAACAATCTCAACCTCTCTGGGTGCTACTCTGCTTTCTTTTAGTAAGATTTTAATGATCACAACTGTGTTGACCATTCTCCTTTCTTTTTGCTCAGCAGATTGTGCATGTTAAAACCAAAAGGTATTACCAAAGTTTTGATTGTTTTCTCTCTACAGGTCCACCCATGTTTAACAATAGCAAAACTGCTTCTCCGCTTTCCTTCCTTCCTTCCTCTTTGACCTTGAACCGGCTGAGCTGGCGCATCACCATGGCAACCACAGCTTTGTGCAGGGTCAGAAAGCTTGGGCATAAAGGAATACTTCGGTTAAAGAGAACTATCTTACCTGCACCTTTAAAAGATGCTGTGTGATGGGAGAGGAATTCTCTGAGATATAGATTCAAGTTGCAGGATTTTAAGTCAACATCCCATGACCGAATACCTGATGGTAAAACAATGTTTACAAAAGTGAAACAGCATATAAATGGTTCCAATTTTCACAAAACAGATCTCAAGGATCTTGTTGTATCATTGGGAGCACAGAAAAGTAGACTTCAAGAAAAATGCCAATATTCACCAACTTTTAACATTTAATTGAGCTTATTCCATCATGTATTAAACTCACTATAAATAATTCTTCAGTCTGCTTGATGAAATGTAAACAGCTCTGAATTCTGTTAATTCAAATACCTACGCCCAGGATTTGCTGCCTAATTATCTAATGATTTTTCCATTAATGGGTTCTAAGATTTTATTATTCTTCGTGAAAAATAAGAAAACGATTTATGTCTCTACACTTTTGTTATGTTTGCAACAAGTATGTGATATGATGTAAGTCACCACGTAAATCCAGGGTACTGTGCTTCTCTCGAATAATACAAAACTATTATTTTTTTTATCGACTTATTAATTGATAAATTATTTAATTGGAAAATAAGTTGAGAAATTAAGATCAGTGTTTGAAAGTCAAGTAATATTTTCTTTGTCATTTTTAAGCCAATTTTCCAAAAAACTGGTTCAACCCACAGCTTCAAGTTAGCATATTTTTTCTTTATGAGAATGTTTTTTTTTGTGTTTCGGTGTAACTTATTCAAAAAATATAAATAGCACATGTATATTTTTTCAAAGTTTATGCACTAATCAATAGATTACTGATTTTTTTTTATCAGGAACATTCAGTCTAAGAAAGTCTACAGTTGCATTATATCTTTCTCTTGTTACCACCTTTAACTGCATTTCTGCTTCACCTTTCAGCTTTAAACGCAGATTGGAACTAAAAGAGCCATACACATCTGTTATACCTCTGGAAGCACAGGCCCTCTGCATGCATAAATACACAAAGGTTAAAATACACAAACACTGTTTACATGTGGCAGCCTGTTAGCTGCATGTCCCGTTTTACATTTCCCCAAAGCTTGTTCTTATATAAAGACAAGCTGAAAGGCAAAAAGACAGAACACTTGTTCCAGACAGCTTTTATTATAATGCACCCGGAGGCAAGATGAAGGGATGCTGATGGTGGAGGATCGCCATATGACGCATTTTTGGTCCTCAGGGTGGATAACATTACCTAAACACTGCAATGTGGCCAGTGCACAGTCCCGCTGATGATTGGAGAGACAGCCATCCGCAGGCATGCGATTTTGTTTTTCATACCAAGCATACAGTAGGAGAAATCTAAATGCATCTACGGCTGAGGCGCAGGCTGAGCTTCACCTACCTCGTTCGATCTCCCTGCTGACGTGTTCCTTTTGTCTGAGGCGATCAGTCCGTCCAACGATGATGAGCAGAGAGTATTTGTGGGGGTTGAAGTGGATGTTTGCGGTCGCAGCGCGCTTCGGCTCCTCCTGGACCTCCCTCTCTGAGACCCGGCTGGACGCCATGTTGGAAAAGCGCACTCTGGGGTGATGTCATAGGAAACAAAAAGCCTGACTGCGCCTTTTATTACTGAGAGATGACAGCTGCAGCTCAGGAATGCAGCCGATATGTGTAGGAAGAGACTGAATCAAAGCCAACAAGTGGAGAAAGGAATCCATTGTTATTATTGACCTTTATTGAAGTGTTCTTCTGTAGAAATCTGAACGAAAGTATGATCGCCACAAATTCGCACTTCGTGGAGTGTAATATGTATATTTCGCTCCCCTCAAAAATAATTGTTCAACAAACGTCAGAGTCTTGGTTTTTAATTTGATTTATTCGTCATATTTCGTCATATAAACATGTTTATAAACCTGTCCTTGTCAACATCTTCCATATGGTAACAAAGATCAGTCTATGAAAAATAACAAAATCACTATGTATGACCAACAACTACACGCAAAAAACTCACTGGATGCTATCTACCCATTACTCTCCTTGTAACACCACGAAGAACAGAAAGGCAAGACAAGGTTGCATCTAACAAACAGTACATCTAATACAATATTCAAGGTTTTGAAAAACAGAAAATCACATTTAAAGTCGCATATTATAAGTAACACAACTGGCAACCGCAAGTTTACTCAACTCATAACTTGAATAACTTGCATTCACCATTTTAACTCCTTTGACCTGTGAAACTCTGATTTTGTGGTGCTGCAATTTCTTTCTCTTTTACAAACATTTAAGGACGTAGAAGTTGCAGGAAGTCCCTCTGGGACAGCTGCACAGAGTCCCGATTCGCGCACCTTTACGCACGGCGCACGGCTCCCCTGCATCACACTGACAGCAGACACAAACAACACGCAAAAAACAGATAAATTGCAAATACATAGGAAATTCTATTTGAACACATTCATATGACGCACGACACTGAGGGTAAGCGGCGACTTATGGTCGTGGATTTTGTTTGCAGCGTTTTACTTACCGAAGGCACCCAGCCGAGCTTCTTTTCAAGGGGCATTTCTTTGCTCCTTAATTTCTCCAAAACTCCTTGCAAGGCGTCAATCTGCAAAAAATCTTTCCATTATACTCAACGTTTAAAATCTTTTTTTGTTTCTGTCTCTAAACAAACTAACAGGCATTCGGGAATATGCCAACTTCAAGATTGCTGGTCGACATTTTTCTACTCGAAAACCTGTAAAGTTTCCACTCACATTCTACACACAAAGCTCTCACCAGGTCTTTTTCCTGTTGGGCTTTCATGGAGAAGTCCAACGAACGCGTCTCCAGTGAGGAATCCTCAGCCCGAGCGAGCCACAGGTAAGCGCAGCCGCAGATGACCGTGAGAAGTGTCCGCGCGCTGACCATGGTGCTGAAACAGGAATAGGCTAAGACCTATTCTGGAACAAAGTAGTTAGTACTGGATGTGAGCTTCCTGTGGGCAACACTGTCCGTGGAAGCTCCCTTTATAGGCGCTGTTGACATCAGACAATCTCTGAAATATTCATAGAAATACTGACCTGTCCAACACCTTTGGATCTTTGTCAGGATGGGTTCAACATCGCACTGTTTAAAGATGGATTAACATTTGATGAGGCTCAACTGTTAGCATGATCAATACCTAAAATATGAGTTTTGACCCTTCCATTTTTCCAATCTAAGGTGTGCCAGGTAGATTTCTCTCAAATACTCTCCAACTTGAACAAACTAAATATGTGACTCATTGGTGAGCTGCTTAGATGTTTCCGAAACAAAGTAATACTTGTGGGGTTCAGAGGATACAATTGCGTCTTAACCTGGAACCTGTAAATATAAATGATAAAGTCATGTCAGTATGTTGTTCAATTTTTTTGTAAGAAATATATTACCCTCCAGGTTTGGATCTATCAAAGAAATCAGCTTTTTTAATGTAAATTCTCTGCCTAATGTCTGATTTTGCTTCTTTAAATAAAGATGGAATCTATCAGCAGGTTAATCCATACTGACATCAATCTGCAATGAAGATCCAATTTCCTTTCAGGGGATAACCTTGAGGTCTCGCCAAGCCTTACACGCGCAGAGGCAATAAAAGTGCGTTTGGCCGACAGATTTTGTGTTTGCACACCAAACGATGTCACAGACCCAACATCCCATTACACTTCAGAGACCAACACATAGGTCATGAGCTCCTCTGTTACCTCATCAGGAGAGAACATTTTATAAGAGAGCAACAGAAATGATCAAGCTTTAACTCAGTTACGTCGAATTAAAGTAATTAAGTTATATTTACGTTCTATAAATGTGTTAAATTATTCATTCATATGCATTTACATAGACAATATATTGTAGGGGGATCCAACTTGCATATGTCTATCCTGCTGGGATTTATAATTTGCTGTTTGTTATTCTGAGAGTTTCTTTCTGGTTTGGATTGCCACATCATCAGATTCTGCAATTTATCGTATTTTAACAGCATATAATATATGAGCTGCAGTAATTACATCTTTTTAAAAACAAATTCAATGTCTTTTGAAACGTGGAGTCATGTTTTACTCCAAAAGGCCTTTTTTTTAATTGCCTGGTTTCGTGGTGTCTCAGCTGTGTAGTTTTTCCATCTTGCCGCACGAGGGCAGCAGTATAAATCAGATACCGGAAGTCAACGTGCTGGAAAACCGGAAGTTTACACTCTACCGTCTCTTCTGTGGTGTGAATTAGCCTGTGTCTTTTAGCGACTCTTTCTTCGATTTGTAATATAAGTTGTAGCAACAATGTCTGAAAGAAAAGTGTTAAATGTAAGTAAATGCATTCCAATAATTAACTGAATTTATACGAGGCTGAGGTAACATAAAGATGGGTAGATTACAACTAAACGCTGGTTGGGGTTAGCTTTGATGCTAATGAAACGTTTAAATTGGTTAACTAATAACCAACCAAATATATTACTTTGCTCATGATGCTCATAATTGACCTCAACTTCAGTGGCTTTTTATTGAAACCTATGTATCAATGCTGTATTCCTTTGTGATTTTTGCTCAGTTAACGTTGCTTTGAAATTTTGCTCTCTACAGAAATACTACCCCCCAGATTTCGATCCATCTAAAATCCCCAAGCTTAAACTGCCCAAAGACCGCCAGTATGTGGTCAGATTGATGGCTCCATTCAACATGAGGTATGTTTGTCTAATGTATTCCTGCACGTTTATATTGTTGGACTTATCTAACTAAATAATGCTGACACGCTCCCCATGTTTGGTTAAATGCAGTTGGTTGGTTAGAGACCTTACAGCTAAACACCACTGACTCAACAGATTTCTACCCATAATATTTATAATCTGTTAATTCTTATCAGTTAACAGGTTTGTAAAGTGGAATTATCATAAGAGATCAGAGCAGAACGCTTTCCCTGGTACAGGTTTCAGTGGCAACTCAGAATGCATTTATCCTCACTGCTTATGTGCAGGTGCAAAACATGTGGCGAGTATATCTACAAGGGGAAGAAGTTTAATGCACGTAAAGAGACGGTTCAGAACGAACTCTACATGGGTCTGCCAATCTTCCGTTTCTACATTAAATGTACTCGGTGCCTTGCTGAGATTACATTTAAGGTGAGAATAAATATTCTGATGATAAATGTGTTGTTGCAAGGTGAATGAAAGAGTTCCTCATACTTTAATACATCTTGTTGAGATTATAGACTGACCCAGAGAACACAGACTATGCCATGGAGCACGGGGCAACACGAAACTTCCAGGCGGAGAAACTCCTGGAGGAAGAGGAAAAGAGAATCCAGCAGGAGAGGGAAGATGAAGAACTCAACAACCCGATGAAAGTGAGTGTTTAAATAGGCCATTTGCCCACTTTATTTAATGCATTCATTAAAAAAAGAAAGAAACGGTGGTTACCCAATCCTACACCAGGTGCTGGAGAATCGCACAAAAGATTCAAAGATGGAGATGGAGGTTCTGGAGAACCTCCAAGAACTGAAAGAGCTGAACCAGAGACAGGCTCAAGTGGACTTCGAGGGAATGATTGAAAAATACAGAGAGATTGAGAAGCGAGAAAGAGAAAGAATAAAAGAAGAGGATGAGCGTGAAACAAAGTGAGTGGATAGTCACAGAAACATAATTTAAAACTGCTCTGACTGAAGTCTGCTGCATGTATAAGGATTTCACCTCCCTAAAGTGCATCAAGTTTCAGCTTTTGTGCTGGGTTTCATGTGCCCCCGTGTCTTCTTTTATTAATTGGAGAGGTGTTTTGGCAGCACACGTGGAAACCCAGTGAATGTTATTTTCCAGAGAGATGTTGGAGCGTGTGCTGGTGAAAAGACTCAGAGACTCTGACTCGGATTCAGAAAAGGAGGAAGAGTGCGGCAGCAGCCAGTCGAAGGTGTCCAAACCTGACAAACCAACAGATATCCTCACCGTCGATAAACCAGCAGAAGCACAGGTTTGTGTAGCTGTTTGACCAAATAAATGTGTGTGTGTGTACATAGAGAGAGAGAGAGAGAGAGAAACTCACAGCTTTCCCAAAAGTGTGTCATCCATATGTTGCTCTGGCGGGGAACTCCTGTGGAGTCTATCAGATCACTTGTTCTGCCCCAATAGCTTTCAGTTTCATATTTTCTTCTTCAGGGGACCTCATCTGGAGGAGTGAGGAGGAACAAGGTGGAGAGCTGGGAGAGGAGTGTGGGGACTCTTGGGGGCGGAGGAGCGCTGGGCTCCCTGGTGGTGCGTAAGAAATCAGCAGTGACCGATAAGAAGAGCACTCCAGAGGAGAGGACCGCAGGTCCGACCACACAAACTGGTAACGCATCACCATTACAAGCGATTATTTCCTCATGACCTGCATCCTGATTGATGTGGAAGTCACAGTAGGCACAATGTTTTACATTTTTCTCTTTTTTTTTCATAGATGTAAAGAAATCATCAAGTGACACTATAAGCGCCTCTAAAGGGAGCAGCTCAGGAAACGGATCATCTTCTCTGAGCCTGCTGGGGGCATATTCAGACAGTGACAGCAATGACAGCGAATGATGGGAAGCTGAATGAAACGCTGAAATGTTACAGATTGGAACATGATAACATGTGTGTTTGTATCCCTACTCAGACAGTGAAAACTTGTGTGGTTGATTGCCTGTTGGTAGTCTTTCATCAGAAGGAGCTGTATGTCATCTGTAAAAAAACAAGAGAATTATAGTCAGGTTTAGGAGATCCACAAAAAATGGAACTGATGGTGATGAGAATTTAATGTGTAAAGTTTCATTTTCATATTGTTTTAAAAGCAAATATACCTTTGTCATAATCGGGTACATATTTGAATGTTTATTAAAATTCATTTAACTTTTGTCCATCCATTCTCTATGTATGAAGTGATCTTAACTTTTTCATTTAAATCTTTTTCACTAAATAATTTTTCAGCATTCAGTATGAACAGAAGATATTGATTTCATTGTCTTAAAATGCTAATTCAGTAACATCCTAAATCTTATCTGCCTTTACAGAGATCACAAAAAAGGCTGGAATAAGTGATATAAATATCCCTAAAAGTGTGATCATTTATTTGATTAAATAAAGATTCTGTACATTTGATGTTTTCATCTGAAATCGAGTCAAATATTTTAGGAGATAATTTCACTTTAAATAGTAGTAGTAGTAAATTTGTAGTATTAAGATGGAACAATGTACTTAAACATTTTGAGAGAAGCAGTCAAAAGCTAAGTAAAAAGTGGGTATGATCATGATAATGACCAAAAGCATCATTTTTACAGCCACTAATCAGAATCCCTTTATTGTGGACGGCTGCAGCGGCCCGGACCCTTTAAACCAGCCCACCGGCAGAAAGTGTCGCGAGCGGACTGCTGCTCCGCGGGCCAGTTGGGCTAGCGTTAGCTGAGTGACCTGCCCGGCCCCCAAGTCTGTTTTTCAAGCGAATGTCTCTTGTTTTACTTTAGGGGCCAGGGGAGCGGTGAAAATTCCAACCGGATGATAACTAGCTAGACAAACAAAAGCGCAGCGGGGAACCGTCAATGCAAAGAAAGAGGGTGAGCGACACGGACTTCTGCTAGCTGCAGCTAACTTAGCTAAAACGTGTTTATTGAATGGTGATCCCCTCTGTTTACATCGACTCTTGAGTTTATAACGTTTTGAGAACTAGTGACGGTATTATTCAGCTGTTTATCTCAAATGGGATGGTTTGGTGGGACTTGTTATCCAGATCCCATCTTCATAAGGTGACATATTATAACCCCTTATCTCACCATCGAAGCTAAGTAGCTGCTGCCGAGTTAGCCGGCTAACGTTGACCAACCTGAAATCAAAACCGCCGACTCTATGCTCCTTTGTGGAGAAAAACAAAGCTGTGGGGGCGATGGTCTTGCTATTTTCTGCTGACCAGACTGTCAGCTGTTGAGCACATTTAATCTGGACTTGGATGGAACTCTTGGATCTGTCCATTTTCTTTCTTATTGGAGGTAATCAAATGTGTACCGCTAAGGTATTGCAGTCAGAGACAGGACACGTTAAGATAAACTATCTTTAATTAATAAATTGGTATCTTAATAGTACATAAAAGTTCACAGAATTAAGTAAAAGCTACCAACTTTCTCTTCATCCATTCTCCGCCGATTGTCCTGCTGGTGTTTGAGGTGGCATTGTTTTTAGACAGAGATGCCCAGGCCTCACTCTTTCATTTCCACCCTGACCACCTTATAAAGCTCTTTGAAAGGGCACCTAAAGCTCTTATGCCACCAGAAAGGCCTAGATTTACCCCCAGCACATCATCCAAGAACAGGCAGGTTTGAAGGAAGATGCACTAAAGTCACCTTTAACATGTGCATGGGTACCAGGTCCTAGGGCCCAAACACAAAATAGGCCAACCACACGGGGTCCCCTGCAGCTTCCCATGGATTAAGGCAGCAAGCTTTGTTGTCCACTCACTGGTGTTTTTTTTGTTCCCACCAGACATTTAAGATTGATTCCCTTCTAAAATCCTCAGATCCATGGCAAAGTGGCTGAAGGACTACCTAAATTTTGGCAGCAGGCGCGATCCTCCACAGCCCCCGAGGCCAGATTACACCGAGAGTGAGATTCTGAGGGCCTACAGAGCTCAGAAAGAGTTGGACTTTGAGGATCCCTACCAACACTCTGATAAGGAGCACCAGAATGGGGGCTTCAGCTCCTGTAATACAACAGTGAGCCTTCCCTCTTTTCCTGCACTTGGCTCCGTTCTGGCCAACGGGGTGGAGGTATGGCGTCCAGGTGTTCAGTCCCAGATTTTTTTGGTTTGCTTTCATTCCATCTACTCTCACTACATAATGTTATTTCCCTTTTTTATGACGATGAACATTTCAGTTTTCGCACAGCCATTTGTATGTCTTTTTGTTTCCAGAGGAAACATTTTCTTTTTCAGTTGTGAAATTGTTTTACCCGCGTGTTTTATGTTCAGGTGAAAGTCGTGTCTCCAAAACACAGACTAATAAAAGTGGACTCTCAGGAGTTTGGGCGCTGTAAAATTCCCTTGAGTCCCGTGGCTGCTCAGGAAGAGCCAGTAAGCATTGTTTTTTGTTTTGAGCTTCATTTCCCGCCTTACATTCCACGTTTCTCACACTTTTCCACCTTTATTTCAGTTTTACTCTCATCCTCATCACCTTTGTTGTTTACCTTCTCACCACCCGCATGTCCCAGACGTTATTATATTTCTGTTGCGTTATGCCTTTTGTTTGTTCCTTCGCTAAGGTGATCCCCTCCGCCCCGGCAGCATCGGATGCTGACACCGACTACTCGGACCCATTTGATGCACGCCCAGACCCGAGAGCCCGACCAAGCTGGGAGCCCAAATCTGCACCAACGGACTGCTGCAGTTACATGGAGCCATTCGAGGCACAGCGGATCATTTCAGGTTTACTAAAAGAAACCGAGGAACACACTACAACATGCCATTTTGAATGATAGTAAAAAAGACACCACAGTTTCTACTGTACTGTTTGTCACTTTGACTCAGCAGAGGTATTTTTTTGTCTTTGTTTTTTTTCCATTTACTCTGCAGACTTGCAACACGGCGTAATGACTTGCAGATCTGGGAGTGGAGATGGCAGCCAGTTATATGACAACCCCTATGAGGAGAGGAGCCGCCTCCACCATCGAGCCGCTCCACCTCCACAACAGCAGCCTCTGAAGGCTGAGGGGGGGCTTGGCCCAGTGGACAGCAGAGAGAGCAGACTCCCCCAGGACGACGAGAGGCCGGCTGACGAATACGACCAGCCCTGGGAGTGGAAGAAGGACAACATCTCCAAAGCCCTTGCAGGTAAACTGGCTATCTTGATGTCACAGATGTACAACCAGTCTTCCTTGATCTCTTGAGTTTAATCCGCTTATTGTTTTCCCTCTGTGTGCCTGTAGTTCAGTTTGAAGGGGCAGAAAGGGAGCGTTCTCGAGCCCAGAGCGAACAGACCAGGCTCACCAAGGCGGGCGCAGCATCCACATCGGACACAGCTACGCTCCGTCTTGTTAGTGACACTCCTCCTCTCCTGGGGGAGAGAGTCGACCCTTTCCTGCCTCTGGAGATGCAAGTGTAAGTCAGACATGCTGGTTCAAGGCATTCTAATTCAGTCTCTTGTCTTTGAATAGAGCCAGTGTAGCTCATTCAACCTGTCGACTTTAGGTTTCGCCACAGAAATAGCAGGGACTGTCAAACATGACTTTCCCTGCTAAAAATAAATCCACCTTTGCGCTCCCTGCTTCTTCCCTGGTGCCGGCAGGTGGTACCACGGAGCCCTGAGCCGCTCGGAGGCAGAGTCTCTGCTGACTCTGTGCAAGGAGAGCTCGTACCTGGTGAGGAACAGCCAGACCTGCCGGAACGACTACTCGCTGTCCCTCAGGTAGACTTTCCCTCTTGAACTAAATACTACAATCAAACATTCTGCTCATCTGATTGTTTGTTTCAGTAACTTGATAGATTTGTGTTTTATTTGGGGGCTCTTACAGTCTGTGGGCAACTTTGAATTTCCCACCGTCTCCTTCAACTCACTTAAGCTAGTGTCCTGCCTAAACCGTTTCTTTCTCCATGAGTTTCTTCAAGTCTGTTTGGATATGAATGTGTTTTTTGCATACATCAAGTGGGAAAGTGTCATTCAATTGGAATGTGTTCAACCCAGAGTTAATTTCTTCAGCATAGGCAAAACACGTTTGTAACATCCCTCAAGTTTCCCATTTTTTCCATATTGATATGGTATCTTACCCCCCCCTCTCTCTTTGTCAGGAGCTGCAGTGGCTTCATGCACATGAAGTTCACTCGGTGTGTAGACGGGCGTTTTGTGCTGGGGGAGAACAGTCCTCCCTTCGCTACCATCCCAGAGGTCATCCACTACTACACCACCCACCAGCTGCCCATCCGAGGAGCTGAGCACATGTCCCTACTGTATCCCGTCATAGTGCAGACGCTCTGACGCTGCCCCGCACATGCCGCCCCTCCTGGTGCTACTGACAACAACATATACTCAGCATTTCCCCGTTTCTGCTCTCCGCCTACGCTCTTCCCCACTGCCGCCCCGCGGTGCTCTGATGAGACGGGCTGCCCGGTGCCGTGGTCCCTCTGTCCCACAGTCCCAGCAGCTACACTGGCCGCCTGACAGAGAGCTCAGTGCCTCGTGAACCTGTGAAATGGTATCGTCACTGAAAGCCCCGTGTTCTCTCGGCACAGGGACTCCTGAGAACCAGCAACCTTCGTTAACGACATTGTTATCCGAGTACATTTTAGGTCAAAGAAAAACCAAACTCAGTCTTGAAGCGTTTTTAGACAGAAAAGTTTATATTTTACTGTATGGATTCTTTTTTTTTTTTTTTTTTTACTGTGATAAATTAAAAATGATAATGAACATGCGACCAAGACACTAAAGGATCAGATCTTTGGACTTTTCGGGGGAGGATTGTGGGAATAATTCAGGTCAATCTTTTCCCCTTTCCCCCATGAATTTTCACCCAAATTTCCTTAAATGTCTAACAAAACGATGGAGGTTTGGTACGAGGATTTTTATCAGATGAAAGTGTTTGAATTTGCAGCTGAAAGCTTTCTGTACCTACAAACATTGTCCTTGCCCTTTAAGTATTAGTATCTATATGAACCAAACACTACAACCTTCCGCCTGGCCATTTTGGCAGGGGGGAATCTCTGTGAATGTTCAATGACGCGATATCCGTGTGCCCTTCTTCAGTGTTCGACGTCTGTCGTGTTAAAGTGTGAACAATGCAAGCAGTCAGACAAACATGACTCATTCTAACAGGCTCCCGCAATACTAGTTTCTAGAATACTAATCAAAGTATTATACTGAAGGTTTGTGGCTTTGTGATCCTCACTATTAAACGAGCTTTGGTAGTTTATTTACTGTGCTGTTTTATAAGATTTTAAATGTCAGCTCAAAATAAAGATGTTTTCAAATGATTATGTATTGCGTTTCTCCGTATTGCACATCCAGTTTGGTAAGGACACGAGGTGAATGACGGCTGGTTCATTCAGAAAAGCTTTCCTTGTAGGTTTGGTGGAGTGTTTAAGTGGTCTATGTGTGGATATGGCCAGAATTGTCAATACATCCACTGAATGACTTGATTTGGCTTATTAGGCATTTGAATGAATTCAGAGTAGAAGGCGAGTCAGAACAGGGCTTTGTTTAGTTATTGGTTAGGGTTGGAGAGTGGGATCCTCTCTCTTCATTGACTCCAGATCTTCAGTGTACTGTTATTTGATACCATAGCAACCAGCAGGTGTCACTACAAGAGGAGAAACTATAGATGTAGGTGGTGGGACTTCATCAGGATCCACATTAACACTGCTTCTGGGACCTTTGGGACAGAAAGAAACAGGACTTTAATCTCTTTAGTGGAGGAAACTATTTGGACCAGCAGAGGAACCTTTTAAAGGAGAGCTTCCAAAGCTGACAAAAGCTGAGAGGTACAGAAATTAGATCTGCTTACTGGAATAAATGTGCAGGTTATTACCATTATCATCAACATGCACTATAGTTACATAGTGCATATAGGAATAATATGTCCACCAGACATCACAAGTCATGTGATTACCTATTCTTCTGACAGTTCAGATTGTTTCCATGGAAACCCGGTTGCACCAGCTTGCTCAGCCCAAACCCAACCAGCTCCAGTTCCCGGACCGGTAGGCCTGACCGAGCCCCCCGCCTGCTCATTTTTGTTTTGCGCTCTCCTTTACTCTGAGTAAGCCTCCTCTCTGTTTTCCAGTCGCTCTGTTTACTGGCTGGAGAAGCTGCCACCAGAAACAACCAGGTCCACCACCAAAATAGGTACATTTCTTCTTTTTTTTCTACGTGAAAACCCACTTACTTCTTTGTCTCCTTTTCTAAAATGTTCAAATAGCCACATTGATTTTTCTTGTTGTCTGTGCTGATTACAGAGTTAACGCCTCGTTGGTCTGACCTATGCAAAACTAAAAAGTTCTACACCAAAGTCACGTAAATACATATCAACCTGAACGTTTCCGTGATCATTCTGAGCATTTTTTATACATTTTTTATACTTTATTGCCTTCTCCGTACAATTATACACCTGTATATATATATGTTGATTCGATTATTGTATTTTTGTTTGGGCCTCATGTTAGACATTTCTAAGCCTTTATCAATGTGTTCCTCACAAAGTTTTCAGTGCTGTACTATAAACTAGGATGATTTTAAAGCAAAAGCTAAAGAAAAAATCTTTCCGTCTTTGAATGCACTGTGGAGTTTTTGACTACTTCAGACTCCTCTTGACCCTGTTTCTCTTTATCCACTTGCTCAGAGTTTCTCCCGTGTGGGAGGTGAGTGAGTGGGCTCTACAATTTGAGCCCTCCAAACGGTTATGCAGCATGGCAGAGCCTCGAGCCCCTGTGGCTGGCTGGCAGCCAGATCGTCCTCTGCTGGCTCCTGTGAGTAAAAACACCCCGTTTGCTGAGAATGGAAACGGTCCTCCCCGAACCGCAGCAGTAAAGTGGCAAAATCTGTCATTTAGAATGTCTCAAAAGAGTTTAAACTAAAAAGAACCAGAATACTGATATGAACTTCTCACCTCATCATCATATGTGTTATTTGTATACAAACTGTGGAAAAAGAAAAAACTGAAAGATACAGTGGATATGTGGCACCACATAAAGTCAGATTTACAGATCAGTTAAAACTGCCCCTGATGGGAATGTTGATGTCACAAAAATGTTGGTAATTCACCCAGATTTGGAAGTCTGAACCACAAAATGACAGAAGCAGAACACCAAACCCAAACAGAGTTAGTTGGTTTTGTTTAAACCTTTACAGCTTAATAGCCTAACAAAGCAGATAAGCAAAATGAATCAGCATTTCGTTGATGGGATTTTGTAATCCAGGGGAATGCAAGACATTTGGTTCCATTGTTCTGAAGCTATTCCGATGCGAATGACCGAAAAATAGAGGATGGCTAGATTTGATCTAAGTAAGATTAGTGTTGTTTTTCCTCTGCAGTGTTTTAAATGGGATTTTTTTTCAAGAAAAAAGGCACATTATTCAAAATGTAAGCTCTCAAATACTTCACTCCTAGTTCTCAGAACTCACTTTTTTTCATGGCCATCATCAGGTATAAACAAAGACGGAGGGAAGGTAGATGTGTTGTGTATTTGAAAGACCAGGTGGAAAGGTAGGTGGATTCAAGCTGTTGTACCATTGTGAAGATAGAAAGAGAGTGGCAGTCTTGAAGGAAGTCTATGTAAATAGTTTTGTGGAGGTGAAGACAGTGTCACACCCCGGAAGGAAGGAACTGAGTGGGTGGGAAAGAATTATAAGACAAAGTTATTAAATGAATGAGAAAGTACGTTTGTCTGATGGAATGCAATTAATTCAGTGCTTCTTTCAGATGAAGGAAAGAAGACAAGGAGATTTGAAGGTGGAATGAGGAATTACAGAAACGTATTCAAAGGAAGAGATTTAGCAACGGGAGGGGTGGCAAAGGAAAGAGCTAGTTGCAAACTATGTTTGAGGCTGGGCACTAAAAAAGGAGAACAGAACTCGTATTGACTGCATTGACTGATCTCCACAAACACAGATGATGTTCAGAGCTAACGCTGGTCATCCACATCAGAGGGGTGGAAATAACTTAGGAATCCATATGAATGCAAAAGATTAACTTGGACTTTTCAAGTTGTGCTTTTCTGTGTTTGAAACAATCTCATGACCTGATACTTGAGTGTAGCTGAGCAGAGCCAGTCTGAGAGCAGAGGCCTCCACACGGATTTGCCAGCTCGCCCAGCCAATGAGAAGGCAGGTTCTGGAGGGATCCAGCTGCAGATCTAAACCTTTATCCCTGACTCACTTGGCCTCCAAAGCCTCAGCACACATAGAGCTACTCGCCAGTAAGTCTGTCTTTCCATCACACCATGTTCCAGTTTTACTGTGTTTAGTTGGATCGTTTTACTCACATCCAGCTAATGCGACGTGGTTGCTTTTATCTTCTCAGCACCAAAACACAACCACCCCAAGTTTGAAGGAGAGTGCTCAGCATGTTGGCCCATTTCCAGAGCGGCCAGAAGATATGTGCCCACCCAGAGACTTCTGGACTTGTCCTGTCCCAAAGAGAGGACAGCTCTGTTTGAAGCATACGACCCATACGCGGTCAGCCGGGCAGCCCGCTCGGCCGCCCCGTCTCCTCGGATAAAGGAACTCTGTTTGCCTCTACCTCGTAAATGTAGCTCAAAGTAGGAGGAAGGATGCAAGCCATTTTGTCCCTGGAGAGGTGTGGATTGTTCTCCGTTTCCCCACCAGCGATGTTATTAAAACCACGTTCATTTCCGGTGCAATGTTTTGGTGAAGGCCTATCATCAAATGATGCGACACATGTGTAAAGGTATTCTGATTTCATTCTTCATTTGCCACCCACGGTTCAGTGCTGTAAGGAAATGTATGGTTGAATTCCGGAGATGAAAAAAAAATCCAGATATGCAGACTGATGTCACAGAGAATTGAGAATTACCATCCCTGTCTGGTTCTTTATGAAAGCTAGTGTAATCAAGTGTGCTATTATGGACAAGTGGCAAATTGCTTTATTTCTGAAAACTTATTGGACTGGGATACAAAGCACACAAGTGGGGGTTCTTCATAATTGCAGGGAGGCATTCTGCATCCTGTCTCACATCTTTCCTCCTAATTGTGTCCTTGTTTTTATTTACTTCTATTAACACCAGTGACTCAGCTGCCCGCGAAACCATGGATCACGATCATGTCATTAAAATGAGTCACCGAGACAAAATATTAGGCTATAAAATCGCGTTGTTATTGTCGCTGTAAATCGAGATTTTTTTTTCTCCAATTTTTGCAACACAAAAAAAGGTCAACACCACTTTATCACTGCGACTTAATGAAAAGTTGAATGAAATCCAAAATCCCTCCAAGGTTTGAAAAACTATCCAGAGAGCACTGCAGGGTTCCGAGGCCTCTGGCAGAGTGATGGCAGGTGGGGGCGGGGTGTGTGTGTGTTTGTGTGTGTGTGTGGGGGGGGGGGGGGGGGGGGGCGGTGCAGATGTGCAGAGACAGCAGCCTGTTGGAAAGTCGCTTTTAAAAGCGCGGAGGAGAGCGCGTTCACGGATCGACTTTATTCCACTTGTCAAGCCCAAGCATGTAAGTAAACTTCTTTTTAGACGTAGTTTCAGTTTATTGATCGTTTATTACTTTTCCTCCCTGCCATGCGCAAAGAGGAGAAGTAATTATGTGTTTAACGTCATATGTAAAAGGAGGGGGGGACACAATCATGGAAGTAACTTACCAAATACATTGAAAGGCTGCAACCAAACCGAACCCCGTGATTGTTCTTTTAATCACTTTTAACAAAACCTATGTTTTGTTAAGATCAAGAAGCGGCACAGGCGCAGACTACGGGGGGTTCTTGGACAGGAAAACGGCTTTCTTCTCTTAATAATATTCTTCTCTTGATACTTTATTGTTTGATAAGACCAAGTGTGTAACGTAAATTTTTTCCTCCTCACGATGTAGAACACACCTACACACCTGGACGTTGTCCAATGCCACATTCCAGCTGTGAGTCGACAAACGGTGGAGTTAGGGCGTCCCTGACAATTTTGCTGAAGGCAAGTTCCACATGATGAAATGAACCGCCTGCCACAAATGAGGTGTGCCACTCACACGTTTTTACCTCAGGCTCTGCACTTAAACATGAAGGGAACACTTCACATCTTTGTACCTCTCAAATTCACTTAGAAAACCACTGTTGAACATACAGATTGCAATGTGTGATGCGTTTGAGGTTCTGTTTTGGAGTGGGATACGTTCCTTAAACCATTCATGCATTCCTGGTTTAATGGGATTGTGTGCGTGAGCTAAATGTAAGATTTTGTAAATATTGGCTGATGCATTTCCTAGGATGTGAAGACTTAATGAAGACTGTGTGAACTTCATCTCAAGGATTTTAGCTAATGAAGTTAAACTTGTTTAATTATAGATCCCGATGACGCTCATAAACCACTAAGAGTCATCCTGTACAAACCCAAGACATAAATCTTTTCACCATCTTGGTCCTGGAGCCAAATTGCTGCCAGCTCAAGAGGAGAGAGTGGTCGAGAGGCTTGTGAGTGTTCATGAAACCAAGTCCAGCTGTGGTGCTGACCTGTCTGCTGGGGGCCGGACTCACCCTGGGTAACTTCAACTTTTTGTTCAAAGGAGCCTACAGTCGCTTGTTGACAATAGGGCAAAGTAACATGAACTAACCTGCACAACACAGGCTCTAAGTTTCTCTTAGCTCATCGCTTTGGCTTTATAGCCCTTTATTTAAATATACACCATGTTAATTATAAATCTGATAAAACACAAGATCAAAATTCTTCTTTCAATCTAAACATATTAATCATCCAACAGTTAGAGTTCTCTCTGTCCTTACCCAGCTGTTGCATGTGACTGGCCAGCAGGAAGCATGACTCCAACAGGAAACTGGAAAAAAAATCTGTAACTCCTCTAAAAACACCATTCAACTCAGTGTAGCAAAACTGGCTAATTGTACCAAAACAGCTGTGTCAAAAATGTGGATTACATTAACATTAAAGTCAAGCTAGGAAAACTTCAGAGTATCATGATAGAAAATAACAAAGCAGCAGATCTCAGGAACACTAAAGGCACAACAGAAGATTAATTTAAAAAAAAGGGACAGACAGCCGACAGTATTTCTGACACCAAAAGAAGTGACCCATGCAGTTATGGACTGTGGATGTTTGGAGGAAAGTCACATTTAGTCATCATCAGCTCTGGCCAAGGATATGATACTGTAACTTATGTTTGGTGTCGGTCCAATAAAGTTTGTTGGTTTTGTGACATGGCAGAAATAAACCGTCTGGTTTCTGATGTAGCAGAAAATTCATGGAGGAAACTGAAGACAAAAAAAAGTAGAATGATAAAACAGACCATTAAGACAAGAGAAGAGTATATAGTTTACTGTCAAACCTAGAAATTGGTTTTGTTGTACACCAAAAAAGGTCTCATTGCGCATCCTTTGAAGTGTTAATTCCATATTTGTCTTCCAAATTCAACATTAAATGGATATACATCAACAACAGTGAAAAGCAAACATTCCTGGATTCCAAAAAAATGTCCCAAAAACTGAAGAAAGAAACCAAAGGCACTATATTTCGCTCATTCATTCATTCCGCCCACTCTGATGAGTGGTATGAGCCACTTGTGCAATCTTGCCTGAGATTCAGATGAACCTTACTGGTTGCTGGCAGTGATTCACAATATCTACAGATAACTCACCCTCTGTTGTTGCATGAGTTTTTCTCAGGTGTACTCACATGCTGTCATTATTGATTAATGAACCTGAAAACCAACCTGCTTTTCTTGTTATCTTGTCAATAGATACAGTATAGTGAACCTAACAAGGAACCGTTCAGCTTCTACCTCATCATGCATTTAACTCAAGCTTCTCTCTATCTTCAGTCCAGCCTTTTGGCCTTCCTGCTACCTCTCCTAAGGTCTCCCCCCGACCCCCGCGGCTGATTGGCTGCGTGTTCATATTCCGAGGCAATGTCACGTGCCGCTGGGAACCTGGAGATGGCCGAGCCACGCACTACACGCTGCACGTGCAGAGGACACCTGGGTATGGCAAAGTTTGGTGTGTGGATGTTATAATAAAAATGCCTTGTTAAAAAAAGCTCCAAATAACACATTTCAAATACTTTTGGAACAATCAACAAAAAGAAGCATTTTGTTTGAAAAAATGCTCATTATTCCAAAGCAGGAGAAGTCCCACTATTTGTGTTAGAGGAGAAATATTCTGAATTGTACCTACATTTATTAGATCCCCATTTTTGTTTGTCTTCAGGGTGTTTATTCAGAAGGGGAAATAGATAGAGGTAGAGAACAGATTTAGAGACTATATACATGCATTGAATTTTTTACCAGCAGTATTTGAAAAGAGAGTTTAGTTTGTGGAAAAAGCAAACCCGACTGCTATTCCGTTTACTTCCGAAATACTCTCTCTTTCGCTCATGTTAATCTGAGCAACAGCGACATATTCATTCCGACCGTCTCACCTTGATGCCAGTCACATTTCCAACGCAGAACATTAACAATAGAAGCCCACAATTCAATCAGACTGAGCACTTTTTCTCCACTTTTTTACAGAAAGACATTCATAATTATGCCTCCATGTAGGATTTGACACCTGTGGAGGAGGAACTTTTGTATCCAGTTGTAGAAAAGGATTGTTGTCATTTTGGATGGATTGTTTTCTGCACTATTTAGGGTTGTTGTTTTTTCCCCTTTGTTTTGGTTAATTTCATCACAGATTCTTTGTCAGTCTTTACAGTGCTTGAGAGTTTCAGCCCATTGTTAAATTCAAGTCTAACTGGCAGGTAGCTTGTTGTTGTTAAAAAAATAAAGAAAAAAATAAATCTCCACTCAGTTCACATAGCACCTGTAAGACCGCCACACATTTTTTGTTATTAATGAAAATATTAAGAAAAAAGATAACAGTTTTAACTAGCCCGGAAGTACAGAAAGTAAACTTAAAAAACACCCTCAGGCCTTGCGTAGAATAAAAAAATCTTGTTCTTTAGAGTGATGACAGACTTGCTGAAGTAGTCGTACATTTGTATTTCTTTCCTGGCACGACATCAATTAATTTCTGACGACCCAAAAATTGCTGATCGTTGTCTTTTCTTATATTTTGTGTGGTTTCTTTATCTTAATTTCCTGCCAATGGCTCAGTGTGAAATGTTGAAGATGTAGTACAATTTCTTTTTTTTTCTTCATTTTTGCAGTTTTGAGGTAAGATTGATAAAATCATTTTTGGTCTGTTTACATGGTAGCAATGGTGGCAATGTGCTGACTTTAAATGTTGCTTTCCTTTGAGCATTTGATAACAATCTAAATCAGTGAGTTTCCATTTCCTGTATTTTGTTGTTGCTGAAAGTGACTGGTAATGTCTTGAACTATTAAAAATTAAGAAGAATGCAGAAGGAACTTCTGTATTGGATGTGTCGGCAATCCTGTGATGTCTGTTTCTATACAAGGTTGTGTGCACGGCACAGAGCCTGTCCTGTAACGTTCACCTGCACCACCTCTGGCACGAGCTGCTCTGCAGGGATCGGTAACTCAACGGTGAGGATCAACTTCTGCATCCGCGTCACTGCACATAGTGGAAACCGCAACATTTCGTCCGAACTTAGATGTCAGCCTGGTAGGAAAGAAGG